CGTGAGCCCTGGCAGGCACCACCAGTGGGGCTGATGCCCCTAGCCCTGGCAGGTGTGTCCCAGCTCTTGCACTTTTGAAGGTTGTCTCATGAGACTCAGATGGTCAGTAAGTCTGGCCCACCCCTGCTTTATGCCATGGTCAGGCATTCCGCATTTGATGCCTCTATGGAAAAACACACATTTCACATAAGAGAATGTAAAAGTGCATGGAGCCAGTGCCATTGTTCAGCAGAAATTGTAGCCCTGCACAGTACACAGGATCCCAATAGTCCCACACTGGTCCCCTCTGACCCTGGGACCTATGAATCTCCTAGTCACGCTATAGGGATGTTGTGATTAGCTGGGCCAAGCAATGTGTAGTTTCATATTAGCTAGCAGGTTGAGATAAATTCTAGGTTCCCCACAGTCTTCATCTCAACCTGCTAATTAGTGTCAAAGTTACAAATTGCCTCACTAGGGGTTTCCCTGGAGTCGGTTAGCATGTGTTCACTGACACAGGGTAAACCCAGGCTTTTCCTCCTTAGTGAAGACAAGCCCTTGAAATCTGATAACAAAACCAAACAAATCTCTCTCAGGGGGATGGTCATCCCAAGCCATTTCAATCAGCAGAAATCCACCCTTGCTGAAGAAACCAAAACAGCAGCATGAATCCTCTCACATGGATTGAGACATGCATCATAGCAAATTGCTCCCCTCATCTGGTGAGGCAGTCACCTGGGGGGAGGGGGGCAGGTCACAGGATAATAGATCTTTATTAATAAATCAGTCAGGCACATTTTTGTGAGCTGTGAAAGAGTCTGTGGTGTGAAAACCTCTCATCACATAGCCTTTCCTCTCTTCCTCCTCTCCAATTGCATTGTTATTTACCAGGCGCTTGTTAGTACTTTTCCTGATCCTTCCCTGGCAGGTTGTTGGCTGGCCGTCTGCCACAGAGCACACACTTCCACTTCTTTTCATGCATCGGATGAAGTGAGTTGCAACTCTTTAAAGCTTACACATAAAACATTAGTCTATAAGGTCCTCTGGACTCCTTGTCGTTTTCACAGAATCTACACCTTATTCCATTCTGTGGAACTCAGATTTCCTGTGTGATAACCTCCAGGACACATTGATCTCTCAGGGGCTGATCATGGAAGTCAATAAAGACTCCGAGTGACTTCAAGATCCCATCTTCTGTTGGCAAAAGCACATTTAAGTGGCTTCTCCTTATCTTTTGCCAATAATTTTTTCTCCTGTAATCTTTGGGTGTAAATGAAAAGTTCATCCCCTCCCTAATACCGTCTCATTCTCAGTGACCAAGGAGGGAAAGCATGATTGTACCCTTCAGAATTATTTCCCTCAAGGTTATGGGGGGTGGGAGTCATGAAGTCCAAGATCAGATGTCTTTCGGCATTCAGGTTTCAGGATGCTAGGGCAATTTTCCACGTAGCCCAGTGATTATAGAAGAGCAGATCTGGCATCACTGACTTTCTGAACAACATTGAACAAGTCACTGAATCTCTCTGTGCCTCCCTTTCCCCATTGTGCAATCTTAGGGTAGGAGATGCTAGCAAGTGCAAGTCATCATGAGTGCAAAGGTAATGATATTTATTGTTATTTTACACAGGAACTCCCAGCACACGTGGCCTGGCCTTGTTTTTTTTTCCCAAGGTCTCCATATTTCATTCCAATGCCTTGATGCCTGGAATCTGTTGGTTAGAGCAGAGGACCAGTCCAACTCCACTGAAGCAAATGGGCTTTGGAACAGTCATTCGGTCTCTGAAGGCCTGTCTCCACTTACTGGGGAAGAATGACTCTGTGGAGATCAATCTCCTGGGGTTTGATTTAGCAGGTCTAGTAAGGACCTGTTAAATTGACCACTGATGACTCCCCCATTGACCCCAGTGCTCCGCCACCTCACAGGGAATAAGGGAAGTCAATAGGAGAGTTTCTCCCATCCATCTCCTGAAGTGGGGATGCTGCGGAAACTCAACTAAATGTACATCAACTCCAGCTACGTTATTCACATAGCTGGAGTTGTGTTTCTTAGGTCAACTTTCTCCCTTAATGTAGTCCTGGCCTTAGAAGCACATTGCCTTGACTTAGCCTGGAAAGACTTGTGGGAGGTAATTCAGTCTTCTGCATGGGGAAAGCATCCAGCTGATAACATACCCTTTGCAGGGTTTCTTTGCCATTCTTGGTGCTTAGCACAATAGAGGCCCATGTGGAAGGGTTCACCATCTCAGCTGTGGAAAAGGTGACACAGTAAAAGTGCCTGTTTTCCCTGGAAGTTGTGGAATGGATACCTCAGTCAGTCTCTGTGGCAGGCTTTGCATTGGCTTTTCATTTCCTCCCAAATCTGTGTTCTTGAAATGCTGATAAAAGCTGTTTTTGAAAGAAAAACTCAAAAGCCCCAAAGAAAACATGTCCCCTCCATTTTGTGGTTAAGCTCTTCCCCCTGGAGACCATTGTGAGTGCTCGCTGCAAAGTGCCGGGAATACCCATCTAATCCTGGAATGCAGCTTTCACGGTTACTAACAGGAAACCATTCTACGAGCTGTTAAACAGATACTGCTCCACACCATGCACACACACTCATGTGCCACCCATTAGAACTGGAACAATCTCTCCGTTATTAGCTGCCAAGCTCCCAACCTCCTCTCCTTAAAAAAAAAAAAAAAAAAAAAAAAAGGTCTGAGACTTGCTGAGGCATTCCAGCTGTAATGGCCATACAATGCAGTACAACCACAGAAAGGTGTTCTATTCCCATTTGTGTTACTGTCCAACTGTGTTTACATCTGTCGTGCTACACAAAACACTATTTTGCACTTTTTGAGCACCAGTTAGTTGTGGAGCTCATGGTGCGTTCCTGACAGTTTATAATACCCATGATATGGGAAGGTCGGCTTAAGATATGCAATTCCAGCAATGTAAATGACATTGCTGGAGTTGACATACCTTAAGCTGAGCTAGGGCACCATCCTTACTGCGAGAGATCAATGAGAGAAACACTCCAGTTGACTTCCCTTCATGAGAAGGGGCATCAATGGAGGCACCCTCAATGGTCAATTTAGCATGTCACCACTAGACCCACTAAATCAAATGCCGGAAGATCAACTGCTGCAGCATGGATTTTCCTAGTAATGTAGGCACGCCTTCAGTTCGGGACCCAGCTCTTCATCTTCAAAGTTGTCCACAATATTGCTCCCCTCTTACCTCTCTACTCTTACCCATCACTTTTTCACCCAAGATACCGCCTTTGTATTTTTTGCCCATATCCACCTCTGTGCCTCATTTCGTTCTGACTCTCATACCAAGAACGCCACACACTAGCCTCCAAAGCCTAGATCCTCAAAGGTATGTAGGCTCCTAATTTCCACTGATCACCTTGGAGGATCTGGGCCCAAGTGACTATCATAGCGTTCTAATCAGATACTACTGTGACGGTGTCTATGCAGCAAGCCAGACTCCTGTCCCTACCTACTCTATATAGCAAGGCTACTCAAAACGCAACAAGCGGCCCGTTTGTTTGCAGCCTGAGTTGCGGCTTGCGTTTCTGCAAGGCTCAACACGCGGCCCACAGGTGGGATCCTTCAAACATGCCTACACTGGGAACATGCTCCACAATGGCAAGTCAATATAATGGTCTTCTGTTGATGTGCATTTTAGTAGTTAAATTCCTGAACTGTCATTGCTCATTAAAAGTGCTGTCATATAGGTAGAAATCAGGTAAATATTGCATTTTATTAATATCAGCAGAACTGACTTAATTGGGGCCTGCGTGTTGTGTAGTCTTGCCTTACTTTTTGTATTCATGCCTGTCAGTGTGAAAAAAGCTATTTGCATATATCTGCAACCACACTTAAGTTGCAGCCCTCGGCATGTGCTGAGAGTATCATTGTGGCCCCCGGGGCTTCCAGAGTTGTGTTGCCCTGCTATATAGGTTCCCACAGTGTTTATCAATCTAGTTTCTGAGCCCATGGATCCTCCTCTTAAAGTACATCTCCGAACCCACGTCTCAAGGAGCATTGCATTGCTACAGCCATTGATTTTAACACAAGTCCCAGTTATTTTCTATATAGCAAAATGTGTTGCATGTTAGAAGCATGCTTCACATGACAACATGACAATCCAGAATACGAATATCAAATAAAACCTCAAGGTACAGACTATTGCTGTTATACCTATAGCCCAATACTGCCAACCTTACTTACGTCAGTAATTCCAATGAAGTGAATACAGCTTTTTAAGTGGCTTTTTAGCATCAGGTCCTTAAATATTTTTATTATTGACGAAAACACACATAACATGGGTTGCAGAAAATGCATCAATGTTTACTTAAAATGGATGATGTTCAAACAAATGCATTAATTCCACAAAATGGACTCTCTTAAGAAGTCGGTTACTACTGACATTATGATTTCTATCTTTCATCTGTTCATTGGGAATGTTTGTTTGGGTCTCCACTAGCTTTGCTGATCTCCACACTCTACTGGGGACTTTCCTAGGCAACAAAATCCACAATAAAAATTGTTTTAGGTAAGTTATGCAGAAGAGCCACAGATTGCATTCATATTTATTTCCATCAACCACACAACAGAAAACTCCTTCTGGAAAAGGAATCATTAGTAATTTTTTTCATCACAGTATATTAGCCTTTGTTTGCAGCGATAGACATTATCGTGGATGACAATTTTCAAATGCCCAAAGTTCCATTTTCAAAAGAAATTTAGGTTAACATTTTCAAAAGATCCGAAGTCTCATTTTCAGAAGGGATTGAACCTAAGTCTCATTGACTTTCAATGAGATGTAGGCTCTTATTTTAATTAAAAGCCTAATTCATTTCTGAAAAAAATGACACTTGAGGCTAGATTTAAAAAAAATTACTTACCTGTATTTTTAGACTAACATAATCCATTATGGAAACATGGGCCCAGCATACACTCTGGGCATGCTCAGGGTCCTATTAGCTACATGTTATAATTTTACCGGCCAAAAGACACCTCCAGCAGGAGTACAGAGTGTCCGAAGTTTAGTTATGTCCCTTCTAGAGTGAAAGCCAGATATGGAATGATCATTCAAGGATAGAATGTTAAGCAAAGCAATAGCAGTGCCTAGAGATGCAGGTAGATACATAAATACCCTTAAAAATCTGATCCTGAGACACTTTTGAAAATATTCCCCAAAGTCCTTGTTAAAAGGCTAACAATCTATGGTGCTAAAAGTAAAGGAACTCTGTCCATTAAAAATGTTGCTCAACTGGAGCACTGTACAAGTCTAGGATGGTTTACATGATCACACCTCATATAAACATCATCAAGAATTACTCCTCTAATAAGGTTTATTGCATGCGTTTTCAGGGCACTGCTCGTTGCATTACCTAGGTGTAGCTACATGGATACAAACATTGTCATTGCTTTCTGCACAGAAAACCCACTGAAAGGGAAAAATCCTCTTGGAACCCCCAAGACATTAGGGTCTCTCAATTTTCTTTTACTTGTCCTATTGAGTAGGGAGAAACAAGGATATTTGCCTCCTTTAGATCCATGCCTGTTTTGAGATCTACAGATCCTTCACTATGTTCTCTAGATGTCTCTTTCCATCTTTCATTGCAGTACTGCTCCTTCCAGAGCCATTGCCCTTTACAGGCCCCCTGGCTGGTGGCTAACCCTGAAGCCACCCTCTCAGGGGATGCCTGGAGGGTAAATTCCAGGAGATAATGCAGAGAAGGGACATCACCCAAGTCTTTCAGTTCAGCAGTGACTCAGTATTATGTAAACACGGCCACAACACACATACTGGGCTCTAATTCCTGTGTATTATAAGTGTGTCAAATCAAAAGATCAAGACGTCTTTAGAAATAGCAAAGACTTGTCCAAAGACTTGTTCTGTCCCCTGTGGAATGAGAGCCAGACACTGAGAGGTCATTCCAGGAAAGCATGTTAAAACCGAGCAATCAAACCACAAACTTGGCGACCAAACTGTGGAAGAGACCAGAAAATGCCATGTATTATCTCCACCTAAACACAAAAAACCCCAACAAAATAGAAGCCCTCATTCAAGTATCTTCTTCCGAGTAGACATTTCTATCAAGCTGAATTACTGACACATCTTGGAGAACAGAGATTTGGACCATCACACTAAATATTTGTATTATGGCAGCACCTAGAGATACTATTGTTGGTCCCAGTACAGATTTCTCCTCGGCCTGAAGTTCCAGCAGGCCTGGCTTATTCCCCATCTCAGAGATGGTCTTTCCCCATCTCTGAATGACTCAATCACACTCTCAGCCTTTTCACTAATCAATCCTGCCCAGCCTCTCTCAGCTCACCCCTCCCCCTCCATCCCACCTTTTCTAGGTTCTCTGAGCTTTTTCAGCTCCCTTTGGTCCAAGCCTTAGCCTTGGGAAGAGTAAAAACCTAGCATAGATGGAGCCAGCCATTGTTACCTTAACTCCCTTGAAGATGTGTAAGAGAGGCTGACTTTCTCTGTCATTGTTTTACCTTTCCTGCTCAACTCTGTAACTTCCTCCTCTAACTTAGCTCTATGAAGCCAAACACGCTGCAGTACAAAACTGAACTGGGAAACAGTCACATCATATTTGTAAGAGATAATACAGGCATTTCCCCAGTTTTTCCACACACGGGGCAGTGACAAGCATTTCAATCCAGCAGACCTGGTGTCAAAGCAGGATCATGTAACAATAATCCTCATGATCTCATGACAGTCACCAGTAGATATCTGACCATATTAAATAGCGCTACACTACCCCTGAAATCTGGCTTACTGAAAAGTTCCCTCTTGAGGAAGACCACGCGCTGGGATAATGCTTTATTGCAAATCAATGAGTGCAGGGCACTGAACACATTCACGATGCCACAGTAGATTTTGAAACAGTAACTGGGTCAAGTCTTGGCCTCATTGAAGTTAATGGCAAAAAGCCCATTAACCTTGATGGGACCAAGATATGGCTCCTTTCACTGAAGCACAGTAAAGAGTCCCTTTGAGTGGAAGCACCAAACACCAAACACAGGACCAGAACCAAGTGAGAAGGCGGCAGAAGCTGCTCCAAACAGTAGTGATAGCAAGTACCAGGGACAGAAAAAGAAGGATTAAGCCACAGCTTGGGGAAAGAGCTACACACAGATGCACATTGTCTTTTCTACAAAAATCCTCTATAATCCTCCCTCTAAAAAAATTGACGCAGTAACTATATATACGAGAGAGAGAGAGAGACAGGTGACATTTAGTGGTCTGTCATGATGAACCAGGCACACACATGCAGATTTACAAACTGAGAGGAGTGCTGAACATCAGCAACTAGCAATGAGTTGCAGAAGTTCAGAACAACTCAGGATCAGCTCCCACCATCATGGCGAGAGTAGGTGAACAGCATTTCAAAACTCATAGCTTTGCATTGTCAGGATGGGTCCTTGGAATACTGTAGGAGTGGCAGTGTTTAATCAGCGTGTGAAGGGTGCAGCTTCCTTCTTGAACTTCTGGAATCGATGATTCTCCATCTGATGTAAACTAGCCTAATTCCATTAAGGCAAAGGAGCCACCTGATGATCTGTAGTGCAGTCTGTAGTTACTTACCGATGAGTAAGTATCAGAGGGGTAGCCGTGTTAGTCTGAATCTGCAAAAGCGGCGAGGAGTCCTGTTGCTTTTGCAGATTTTGCACTTGCTATTTTACTATAAGGTGCCACAGGACTCCTCGCCACTTTTACCAATGAGTAAGTTATTGATAACTGGTAGATTCTTTGACCCATAACCTGCTATTGAGCTCTACTGTAAATTTCCCATGGACACAAGACAAAGTGTAACTTTTTTCTACATCTCCCCACATCGGTGGTTCTCAACAAGGGGACTTGTATCCCAGGGGTATGCAGAATGTCTTTCAGAAGTACATCAACTCATCTAGATATCAGCTCAGTTTTACAACAGGCTACCTAAAAAGCACCAATGAAATCAGTACAAACTAAAATTTCGTATGATGCCGTTTATACTCCTCTGTGCCATACACTGAAACGCAAGCTCAATACTTGTGTTCTGCTTGATTTATTTTATTTCTGGTAAACATCAGAAGGTAAGCAACTTTTCAGTCATAGGGTGTTCTGACACTTTAGTATTTTATGTCTGATTTTGTAAGCGAGGCAAAACTTGGGGGGTTGCTAGACAAATCAGACTCCTGAAAGGGCATAGTAGTCTGGAAAGGTTGAGAGCTATTATTGTACATCATAACCATCACAAGCAATCCATACACCACATGGAATCAAATGAACAAGCGGCTGAGGTCGGAGATATAGTACAGGACTGTTGTATCGGTTTTGAGTGTTATCGCCTGATGCATTGTTGCGTCCTTGCATATTTGCAGGAAACAAGAGAATGACAGCATTAAGATCACCACTCTCTGCCACAACCCACAGCTCCCAGTAGAAAATGTAATGGTCCCAAATTACAACACCTCACGGTGCATCATGACCCATCAGTCTAGTGAGGAAGGAATATTTTACATCTGTGGTTGTGTGGATGAACAGGAATGCAACGATAAACTTATATTTGAAAACCACACCAATGGTGAGTATTTCTTCTTATTATTTAAATGATGGCATGTTAAAGATGTGCCACTCCCATTGGAAGCTGCAGCCCTCAGCGCTTCTGAAAACCACATTAATGACCAGATAAGGCCAGAAGGGACCATTCAATCTTCTATTGGACCTTCTGAACTGAATCGTGCACTTCTCTCTGCACGGAGTCCAATGACTTGCACTTGACTGAAACATCTTCCAGAGGAGCCTGCCTCAGTTTCACTGCACTGCCAACCAGCCCCCTCCTGTTGACAAAAAACAGCCCCCTCCTGTCGACAAAAACTCATTCTCCTCCTGAACCCCCAAGTTCCCTCATGTACCCTAAGTAACTGCCCTAGCACCGACACCTCTCTCAGAGCCAGCACTCCATCCCCTCTCCTGCAACGCAAGCTCCAGCCCTCAGCCCCCTCCGAGAGCCAGCACTCTATACCTCCTCCTGAACCACAACTGTAGTGAAAGTGAGTGAAGGGGCATGGAGTGAGTGGAGTGGGGAAACCTTGGGGTAGAGGCAGAGTAGATCTTGGGTTGCCCTTAAATTCAGGAAGGGATCTGGGATATAAAAAGGGTGAAGACCTCTGCTGTAAGGGAACTATGGGAGGTCAACTCTAGAGCTCTGACTATAGTTCTCTTCAGCCCGTTTACTTCATGGTAAAACTCTAGAGCCTTGTCTCCACTAGGATTTTAGAGCAAGATCCTAACACCTGGGGGCAAAGCCTTAGCGGAATTGTGCAGGAGTAAATGAGAGCAGAAAACAGTTACTAACCTTTCACAAGTGTTGCTCTTCAAGATGTATTGTGCATGTCCATTCCACTCGGTGTGCACATGCTCTATGCACTGTGGATGGAATTTTTTTCCCCACCTTCTGATGCCGTGCAATGCTGGGGAAGGCATAAAGACAACCCCCAATCACCTCAGTTCCTTTTTTCTGGAAACTCCAAGGCAGAGGGGTGGGGGCAATGGAACTGACATTTCACAGAACAATTATGAGAGGTTAGTCACCGTTTTTGCTTCTTCACCTGATTGAACATATGTATTCCTCTCTTGGTGACTATCAAGCAGTTAAATAGGCACAAGGATCAGAGTTAATGTTCCCAAAGACAACCGTACAACCCTCAACCACATCTGGCACTATGAATACTTGAATACTGAATGATGGCACAATGGAGGAGGAAATGTCACAGGTTGCTTTTTTGCTAATGCCCAGGATTGGGATCTGGACTAGGAATGCTTGGTATCTTGCAAGGCAGACAGACAGCTTGTCCAGAAGAGATACACCTGCCAGAGCATAACTCACGTGGATACAAGAAGTTATCCAATATGAAATTCTCCGTGTGGAGATTGAAATACCTTTCCTTCTGTCCACTATGGCCACCAATAGTTGAGTGGGCCACTGAAAAGGGTTTGGCCCTGACTATGTAGAATGCTTGTCTTACGCCCAATATATTTACCTGTTGCTCCTCTCTGTTTGTATGTGATGTCGGGTAAAATAGAAGTACATTGACTTGTTGATATGAAAATTGGAAACCACCTTAGACAAACTAAAGACGAGAACATAAGTATCCCTTATCTTCACAGGCGCCTGTGTATGGTGGTTCGGATATAAGAGAATGTCAATTCAGAGATTCTTCTAGCAGAAGGAATGACCATTAGAAAAAAGTCCCAAGGGGGAAAGAGGTTCCCTTTGTTGAGTTCCTTAGTTCTTGAAGGAATCTAATTGTCACGTCATTAGGGAAAAAAAGCAGTTACCCAGCTTATCCAAAATGCCAGGTGAATCTTAATACAGGAAATTTTTAACAACACTAATTATTTACAAGAGAACGCAGTTCACTGAGAAAATGTTCAAATGCAAGATCAGTTCTAGCAACCATCACATATGGTAAGAAGGAACTGAAGGGTGGCTGGGTGCTTTGTACTGGTGCCAGTGATGGGCAGCAGCAAGAGAGCACATAAAACACACCAACAGGTATCACTGAGAGAAAAATTTCTAGGCACTGTGCACAGGGTCTGTGCACACATCAAGAGTGGAACACACAAGTATAATCACTCGAAGAAAAATGAAGCACATTCATTGAGGTTCATGCTAATACATGGTAAATTGAATAAGAATATAAAACCTTATCAGCAAAAATTAAATATAAGTCAATTTTGATGTCTCAAGAGGTTGTATAACTTATATAAACTTTAAATAAGTACCTGAATATCTGGAGATTCACCTGAATTTGTCACTGCTTCTGAGCACCATACAAGGAGGCTGACAGAATATTTACTAACAAAACCCCCCTTTGAATATTCATAATTTCAGAGCAACAAAATGCTGGGAACACAACTACAAGCAGGCAGCATAACTTCTCCTGCAGAGTAAGGCACACGGCATAAAACATGAATCTTCAGAGTAAGCAAATCATTTTTTACAAATGTAAATTATGCTAAATTTGCAGGCCTTTACACTTTCCAAAGCCAAATGAAACTTCTGTGGGACAGGGCGATAGTGAAGTCCAAATGCCGATATTCGTGTAGATAATGTCTCACAAAAGTGATGCCTGGCTCTTTGGAAATGCCACTGCCACCAAATATTTTCACAAGTTGCTGTGTTGCCAACCAATATATTTAAAAGTTATAATTTGAAACACTAAGGTTTCAGGGCTCAAATAGTGACATTTCTGCTTTTATTAATTACCTGAACCACCTTGCCAATGACAACCTTACAAGACCCAGACAATGCATTTCCTTACAAATTGTTTATATATTAACATCTTATTTTTTTAACCGATGATTTGCATTGTTTTCTTAAACTTTAAACATTATAGGCAAAATCTGATTTAAGACAAATACTTACAAAGGAAACTACTAAAGCATTATACCAAATCAATTTTCCATTTATTTAGTCTTAGGCCCTGACTTCATTAAGGAAACTAAGACTTCCATTGTTGACCTTGCACTGGCGTAGAACAAAATTTGAACTGGTAATTTACTGGGACTGAGCTACAAAAAGGCAACATCTCTACATTGGAGCTCCTCAGTGATCCCATTACATGTGCAGATGTGTCATTTCCTCTCCTCCCATCCCCCAACCTATGGTGGAAAACCCCAGCCACTGGAGATGGGAATTGAAATGATGCAGTCAGAAGATGCTGTTTCTTGTTAAATACTGAGGTGGCTTTTCAGACGTGTGGTGCTGATTGATCTTGGCCTAGGCGTTCTAATTCACATCTGACAGGGATTGAACTAAACGACTGGTAATGCACTGCAATATTTTGGTTTTAAAGTACTGCATTTGTTTTCAGAAAAAGCAGAAAAGATCTACACATTTAATGGCCACGCTCATATGTGGGGATTTTGCAGTGTGGAGGGACATCATTGTTAAATAATTGACAAAAGTTATGCTCACAGCTCCAACTATTAGTTAGCAAGATTCAAACATGTAAGTCCCTAAAAAAAATTGAAAATACTTTACTCTCTCACTCTGCTTTTCCACTCCAGCTTTCAAAGAAATGATCATAACCATGGGGTAAATCCATTAGAGCTGTAGGTGATACCCAGGCCTGGTATTCTCCAAAAAAAACATATTCCTGGGTTAGTTATTGATTTATAGCCGTTGGGCTGATGTTGTGGTTTGAACTTGAGGCCTATTTTAGAAATACTTTCACAGTCTTGCAGAAATTAGCTGCAGCAGATTTTTTGGAATTTGCCAAGTAAAACAGCTAAGTGGTCCGTTTTTCCAGAACTTGAATTATAAACTGTACACGCTGAGGTCAAACAGCAGGGGACTGTGCTTATGGAATGCTTCTTATACTTCTTCCTCTCAGTTATTATACTTGGCAGAGAAATGTCTGAGTCAGATTTTACTTGAATCTCTCTACCGAAGTCAGCATTTTTACTCTAGGAACTGCAACATCAAAGGAATTGTATGTGTAAGGGTCATCTTCAAATGATCTGAAGGCTGGTAAGGATTTTAAAAAGCACGCATTCTTGGCCACTATTTGGGTAAAAAATATTTAACAAAATGTGGAAAAAAACCCATTTCAAATGGTTTTGACGGACCCTCAGCTACATGAATCCCGTTATATTCATTCACGCTAGTAGTAATGCAAGGAACTTGCTCTCTTCCCACTCCTCACTCTCATCATCATTCAGAAACCTTTACTCATGCTGACTAGCACCCTGCTGCAAAAGGAGATTCCCCGAATTCAATGGGAATACTAAGTCAGGTACTCCTCAGTTAATACAGGTCGAACCTCTCTATTCCAGCACACTCTGGTCTGGCAACATCTGTGGTCTGGTATGATTTTTTAGTTAGCTGGGTGTGGCCAAGTTTCTTTACAGCCACCCGTCTGCGCTGTTAGCTCTAATTTACAACCAAATGTCTTCTAAGAACCCAGTAAACAGTGGAAGTGTTAGTAATACAGCTAGATAATATTGACCTCCTATGGCTTGGCAAATGCTCTGCTTTGGCATTGCTCAAGTCCAACCTGTAGTGGCAGAATTTAGCCCAATATAAGACTGCATCTGCGTCTAGCTCTCCATTCCACTTTAATCCACAGCTTTATCTCTATTAACAATTTACATCAGGTTATACCACCATTTGTTTTGACAGTGTTCTGCAAAGAACCTCTACTTATAAACCAGATCCCCAGATCCAAACTGTCCCAATCTTTTAAGATCGATCCAGGTTTTCCAGCTTTGTTTCATCATTGGCTTTCAGATCACTGGGAGGTCTGTGTGCATGGTTTATAAGAAATTAGTTGTAATAGTTCCAAGATGTTGAGGAACACACAGACACACACACACGATGGAGGCGAACCAACTAACAAGATTTCCTGACATGACCTCAGTGGGATGCTGCATATCACGGCCACTTGGAACTTCACAGCAGGGATAGGACCAAAACTCTTTTTTGGTTAGGGGAGCAGTGGAAACATGCTGTCTTGTATATGCAAATAGTTAAAAGTCAAATCCCATTTTGTCTGTTACAGAGAAGGTGAATGTTCTCTCATACCTTGAAATTTGCGTAGGCAGTGTAGCCTAGTAGATAGAACACTGGACTAGGACCCAGGCTTCTTGAGGTGCTGCCATTGGACTACTGGTTGACCCGTTTCACTTCTCTGTACCTCAGTTTCCCTTACTGGGGATAACAATACTCAACTCCTTTGTACAGTGCTTTGACATCCACTGAGGAAAAGTGCTTTATAAGAGCTCAGCGTGATCATCATCTTGCAAGAAACCTCTACCATTTGAGCTAAGACAGCACAGATACTGGAACCAGTGGTGCTGCTGCACCCCCGGCATGGTTTCCATTATGTGCAAAGTTTACTGTTTCGTTCAATGACTTTTGTAAGCACACAAGGCTTCTGACACACAGTTGAGCAGTTCCAAGACCATCCAGTAGAGGGTAGTGGAGCATACACATGCACCAAGCTAGTCTGCTAAAACAGTGTGCGTTATGTCCTTGGAAATACTTAGTTAACTAAATCCCATTTTGTCCCCATGCACTACCAAAACTACATGTGGCAGGGATTTTGTAGCAGCACATTCTTACCCATTTTCCTTTCCGCAGGCTACTCCATGCTGCAGAGCAAAGAGGTCATTCCTGTAGCAGCCATAAGTCTGCTTCCCCCTCTGCTCATGGCTGTCATGATAACGGTGACATTTTACCTCTGCCGCACCCAGAAACGGAGAAAGAGAGCCAAGGACTGGGGCCAGAAGCACCCACAGCCCCAGGCTTTGCCCGAGCCAGGGAAAGCTGCTGAGGATGATGAGAAGTTATCTGTGATGACCGACGACCGTCACTCCCGCATGAGCTTGACCTGTGCCAACAGTATCAACCACAACACCGAGCTGTTACCCATTGAGCTGGACGAGGTAGTGGGGAAAGGTCAGTTTGCCAAGGTCTGGAGGGCAAAGCTGAACCACACCACTTCGGGGCAATACGAGACCGTAGCTGTTAAGATTTTCCCATGTGAGGAATATTCCTCTTGGAAAAATGAAAGCCAGATCTTTACAGATGCCAGCCTCAAGCATGAGAGCATCCTGCAGTTCCTCACAGCAGAGGACAGGGGATCTGGGCCACGGAAGGAATACTGGCTCATCACTGCCTACCACAGCAGGGGGAACCTGAAGGACTATCTGTCCCGGCACATTCTGAGCTGGATGGACTTACAAAAAATGGCCAGCTCTCTGGTGAACGGCGTGGCTCACCTGCACAGCGACTACACTGCCTGCGGCAGGCCAAAGATCCCCATCGCTCACCGGGATATCAAAAGCACCAACATCCTGGTGAAGAGTGAGTGGGAGTGTGTGATCTGTGATTTCGGCATTGCTCTAAGGCTAGACCCTTCCTTAACAGCAGATGACTTTGCTAACAGTGGGCAGGTGAGTAAATCCAAAGCTGGGTCACTGACAACTTTACAGAAATTCAAGGGGTCACTCAACAATACATCCTGAGTATGCCACAGGCTGAAAACCACATGCTGCCAGACTCAAGAAGGCCCTAGTGGGAATGAGAAGGGGTGCGTGGGGAAGGGAGGGGAATGTATGAGAATTTTATGATTTTGTCCACTTTGATGTAAAGGGGGAAGTCAAACTAGATTTGCCCAGCTGATAAATGTGCTCAGTATTAGAATGGGATATGCTGAGGCACACCAGCAAACCATGATGCTAGCTTTAAAACAACACACAACCCAGTCCAGTGTCTTCTCTATTTCAGGCGCAGGCTGGGAGTTTAGACTTTCCAGTTCACAGGATGTTTAATGCCGACGACAAATAAAATCAACCATCTACTTTAGCTTTTCTAAAAGAGCAGATGCAGGAGTGAGATGCCCATGCTAGTGATGTGTATAAAATGTGTATCTGCAAAAACGAGTTGTGGATCTCCAAAGACATAAAGCAGATATCTGCAAATTTGCAGGGATCTAGATACAAAATTTGTATCCACATATGCATCTGTATCTACAAAAATGAGCCGTGGGTAGCCGCGGATATAAAGAGGATATCCATGGATTTGCAGGGCTCCAGAGATGGGGCCCATCTGCAGAATCATTAGGCAGATAGTACATGCTCATTGTACTCCCCGTGGCTGCTCATAATGAAGCTGAACAGCAGGGAGAGAGGATGGGAAATCATCTTACATCCTCCCAGTGCTTAGCAGTGGGTGTGAGTTTGCTCCTGAGCAAGACCAATCAGGCCATGATGATATTTCAGTCTCTTCTACCGACTCACCTCAGTTTTAACATGGCAGGTGCTTACTAGGCTGCAGCTGCCCTCAGATACATCTACTAACCTCTGGCTTGCTTGTTGTTCCTGGCTAGGTCGGCACTGCCAGGTATATGGCTCCTGAGGTTCTAGAGTCTAGAGTGAATCTGGAAGACCTGGAGTCCTTCAAACAAATGGATGTCTACTCCATGGCCTTGGTTTTATGGGAAATGGCCTCCAGGTGCGAGGCTGTAGGAGGTAGGAAAACTGCACCGCAGTCCTATGTATTCCCTTCTTCCCAGACGCAAAGACAGTGCATTTTTGTAAGTGAACCACCCTCGGACGTAATCGTTTTCATGCTCTCTTTCCACTACGCAGCCACCAGGCCCACTACATCTTTCACGGATACAACCCTGCTGCTCATCTCACGCATAGCAGTTCCGAAAGGGTGCTGAGCACCAATGGAAGTTAGATTCTCCAGCACTTCCTAGGATCAGGCACACAAACTGCTAAGCATTCCCTGCTTGCTACATGCCTGCTTGCAGAATGTTCTTCAGGCATCGGTTCGCAGAAGCCATGATGATGTGCAAGGTGCACCAATGCAGATGGGAGAAAAGAGCAGGCTCTCCAGGGTTTTGGAGGCTGTTGTCCGTGGTGATGGAACACTGCAAAGGGGACGGAAAGGGAACCAGAGAAAAAAAGTGTGTCTGAAAAAGCTCCTGGGTGAATCTTAGCTCTACTGAAATCAATGGGTTTCCCTAATTGACATTTGTGGAGCCAGGATTTTATCCCATGCCTCCAAACAGGCCTCTAGCCAGCCAAGTAAACATGCCTGTGTGCACAGAGTAGAGCTATGCAAAGGCACATTCCTGGTGCACCGTATAGTTTCTAAAAATGCCATGATTTACACTACAGCGTGATGGGATTCTAAGGGTTCTCACCACCCCCAACCCCAATCTGAAGCACCCAGTGAAAACGTCAGCATTACACAAGGCAGATTATATGCATGAGTGTGCACACAGCAAGCATGGGAATTAACTCACTCGCCAGAGGCAAGTTATGTTCTGTTCAACTTAACAAACACGCAAAGCCACCGAGCCCTGAATATACACATTTCCCATCATGCAAGAACACTGCAAATGGCATTGTTAACAATGCACTCAACAAACGAACCACAGCAGACTCCCTGTCCCTTTATACAACACAATGAAGCGCATCCAGCTCCCATACAAAAGCAGTTTACAAGCTCTGGCATCCTATCCAGTCATAGCCCCATGACTTTTCAGTCAGTGTCTATTTCACTATAATATCCTTGCTCCAGTCTTTCCACGCTACAATTGACTAGGATTCCGAAATGTTCTCTTCTTCCTTCTCTGCCTGTCTCTTTTCCTTCAGGCTTACTGCTTTTGCCAGTTTTCCTTATGATTAATTCCCTCCTCCTGTTATCCAAATTGCCCCATTCACCTCAGCCCTTTCTTCTCACCATCCCGACCCTCTTCCATTCCGTTTTCCTGCTCTGCTGCCCTCCTTATATGCCCCCACAATTCACTCTACTCCCCTTTCCCATCTCCTACACCCGTGGCCAGGGAGCTGCAATGATTCCTGGAACAGAAGAGACTAATACATTGAAAAAAGGACCCATTGTTAGAGACTGGCATCGGGGAAGCCATGGAAATCCTACCTTCCTCCTTCAGGAGCTCTGCTTTCAGCAAATCCCCGTACAAACCAAGGGGATAGCAAGAAATGTCTTCCTTTGCCACAATAGTTGCCTCAGAGCCCTCCCCTCTGCTATACCAGAGTGGAAGAGGGTAAGTGCTTCCCTAAAGGGGCAGATGAGCCTGTCACAAGACAATGACTTACAATGTACCCATTGCTGTGGGATGTAAGATACCCCAAACCACTCCCCCTTTTAACTTGTCATACCCGGATATAAAAAGCACCTCAAAAATCTGAAACTTAAAGGCTAATGAGAATCACTGTATCTTAGGTCCTTCTGACAAAAGCTGAGTTGGTGAGAAGAGTTTTGCGCCATATTCTGAAGGGTAATTCTCTCAACTCCCTCGTGCCACCAGAGGGAGCTATTTCCACAGCTCTGGAGTCTCCTCAGCAACACTTCCCAGGCTCCCGCTTTCTCGTTTCCTGTCTGCGGGTGGGTCTCAGCTCCCGAGGTCACACTCTAAAGGCATTTACCTAATCTGTGATGACACAATGCTGTCTCAGGCAGACAGGAAGGCTGGAGGCCAAAAGCAAAAAATGTGTTCCAGTGAAAAGATTCTGAAATGTTTTAAAAAAAAATTTTTTTTATTGGGAATGGGTGTTTCCTCCCCTTACCTTTTCATTGCAACCCCACTGATGTTAGGTACAGCAGAGGTTGCCCATATGTTTCTGCAGATTTAAATTCACTAACTTTACTAGTGATAAACCTCAACCAAACCCTCTGCTCCCTAACACTTTCTGGACTTTGAGGACATTAAGGTCTGTATATAAACTTTGTGTCTCTAGCCAGTCTTAAAAAACAAACAAACAAAAAAACCCACACACACACACACACACACACTCATTCCCTTTCTGGTTCAATGCACCAGAAAACAATGAAAGACATCCAGTAACTTTGATTTATCACTTTCTTCTAGAAGTAAAGAGTTATGAGCTACCATTTGGATCGAAAGTCCAAGAGCAACCCTGTGTGGATACCATGAGAGACATTGTGCTGCATGGCAGAGGGCGCCCAGAGATACCTTGCAACTGGCTGGTGCATCAGGTAAAGAGCAAAAAAAAAAAAAAAAAAAAAAAAGGACAATAATAATTCAAGACATCTATTCATTGTCATAACTTGCAATTGATATATCATCTTTGAATGACAATTTAAATACCTCTATAGTCCAAATCACACACTGAAGGAGGGAGATGTTTCAAAATTGCCTAGGTAGGAGCTCTTAAATGATGGGAACACTTTTGAAAAAATTCCACCTGTTTTGCAATTTAGCTAATTTGATAAATAAACTCGATGTTAGGAGCCAAAACCTCTGGCTTAGAGCATGTCTGTCACGTGTTCACACTGTGCAATGGCTCACTTAATTCACAGGGCACTGCTTCTGCCTCCTAAACAGGGGTCTTCTAAACCCACAGAGTTTTCAAAATGGCCTCACATATGCAAAATACAATCTGAATTTTGCATTCACTCCAGCCTCGGATTATCATTTATCCCATTTTTACTGGACAGCCCCTTATTTAAAGACCTCCCGGGATCCTAACCATTTTTTAAAAACGAGCACATTGTCCCATATTTCCTCTGCAGAGGGGAGGGGAGAATCACAGAACCATAGAGCTGGAAGAGACCTCAGAAGGCCTTCAAGTCCAGACCCCCCTGCTCAATGCAGGACCAACCCCAATTAAATCAACCCAGCCAGGGCTTTGTCAAGCCAAGACTTTGTCAAGCCAAGACTTAAACACCTCTAGGGATGGAGATGCCACTACTTCCCTAGGTAACCCATTCCAGTGCTTCACCACTGTCTTAGTGAATCGTTTTTCCTAATATCCACAAGAAAACTGATGTTCAACAAGGACAAGTGTAGAGTCCTGCACTTGAGACGGAAGAATCCCATGCAACTTGAAACCATTGTTCTTTGTTCTGCCATCTGTCACTACTGAGAACAGCCTTTCTCCAGCCTCTCTGAAACCTCCCTTCAGGAAGTTGAAGGCTGCTATCAAATCCCCCCTCACTCTTTTCTTCTGCAGACTAAACAGAGCCAATCCCTCAGCCTCTCCTCATAAGTCGTATGCTCCAGCCCCCTAATCATTTTGGTTGCCCTCCGCTGGACCCTCTCCAATGCATCCACATCCTTTTTGTAGTGGGGGGCCCAGAACTGGACACAATACTCCAGATGCGGCCTCACCAAAGCTGAATAAAGGGGAATGATGACATCTTTGGATCTGCTGGCAATGCTCCTTTTAATGCAACCTAATATGCCATTAGCCTTCTTGGCTACAAGAGCACACTGTTGACTCATATCTAGCTTCTCATCCACTGTAACCCCCAGGTCCTTTTCTGCAGAACTACTACTTAACCGGTTGGTCCCCAGCTTGTAACTATGCTTGGGATTCTTCCGTCCCAAGTGCAGGACTCTACACTTGTCCTTGTTGAACCTCATCAGTTTTCTTGTGGCCCAATCCTCCAATTTGTCTAAGTCACTCTGGACTCTATCCCTGTCCTCCAGCGTGTCTACCTCTCCCCCTAGCTTAGTGTCATCTGCAAACTTGCTGAGGGTGCAATCCATCCCCTCATCCAGGTCATTAATAAACACGTTGAACAAAACCAGTCCCAGAACTGAACCTTGGGGCACTCTGCTAGAAACCAACCGCCATCCTGACATCGAGCCGTTGATCACTACCCGCTGGGCCCAACCTTCCAGCCAGCTTTCTATCCATTTTACTGTCCTCTGAAGCCTCAAACACTGGCAGCTCCTCTTCCTTCCTCACTCTACATGCTGTGGGGGTGAACTTGATCCCTGCAGTGGGGCAGGATTGACGAGCCGCCGGCTCTTGGAGCTTCAGCCACTGGAGCCCTGAGTGCTGGCAGCTCCCCATCCCCTGCTGCAAGCCTGAAGCCTAAGGTGCCAGTGCATCTCCCTCACTCCCATGTGGCTGAAGCCCTGAGTGCCAGTGCACCTCCCCTGCCCCTGCAGGGCTGAAGCCCTGAATGCTGGTGGCTATCCCCACCCCATGGGGCTGAAGCCCTGAGCACTGGCAAGTCCTCCCCCCGTGTGTCCCGTATTCATCATAGAGAAATATGGTCACCCTACTCCAGGCTCTCTGTAACAAAACACTATTTTTGAACCAAGAACCAAGCTGTAAACAGTGTCAAAATGAATGTGTGGTTTCTAGCTGGAAGAAAGTTTGTGGACACATTTTTGGCAATGTTCACTCAGCTATTAGACCTCACATTTGAAGGAAATTGTGAGCCCTCAAATCTCAACTGCAATATTCTTTAAATTTTTAAACATGGGGTTCAGATCTGCACCCTGCCAGCTTTTAAATAACATTTGTAACTGCTGATAAAATATGCACCCCCTTGGGTCTATGACAAGCCAGATTGCAAAGGCCTGGCTCTACCTAGATTATTTTTATTAAGCTGAAAAAGAGTTGTTTCTGATCAGGATATTTATCTTCCCCTCGCTCGTTAGAATCAGTTCTCCTAAAACACAACGTGTGACAGCCATCTGCTGGGAGGAAAACAGAATATGTGTTTATACATTCTATAACTATTTCCCACCCCACTAGCTCAAAGGTTCTTACTCTCTTAAGGTTTGATGCTGAGAGACTGACACAAGACACTCATCTCAATGGAGTTACAGCTTTCTCACAAAGCAAAAGTTGGAACAGGCTCTAAGTCAGTGGTTGCCAACCTTTTAAACCATAAGATCACTTTTTCAATTTAAGTGCAATGTAAGATCTACCACCTCAAGCCCAAATACCCTTGTCCCAGTACCTTCCCGCCCCTTTGAGGCCCTGCTCCTGCTCCACCCTTCTCAGAAGCCTCACCCTGCTCTCTCCATCCCCCTTCCTCACTCACTTTCACCAGGCTGGGGTAGGGGTGCAGGCTCTGCTCTTGAGTGAAGGGGTTTGGAGAGTGGGAGGGGTTCTGGGCTTAGCCCAGGGTAGGGGATTGGAGTCCAGGAAGAGTTTCAGGGTACAAGGTCTGGGCCGGAGGTTGGGTGCAGGAGAAGGTTCAGGGCTGTGACAAGAATTCAGGAAACAGGCTCTGGCTGGGCACCATTTAACTGAGACGGCTTCTGGGTGATGGGGCTGTGCGGTTAAGGCCACCACTCCTGAAAGCAGCTGGCATGTACAGAGATGGCTTCATGGTGCCATGTGCTGCCCCTCATCTACAGGCTCTGTGCCCACAGCTCCTACTGTCCCGGTTCCCTATTATTGATCAATGAGAGCTGCAGGAGTGGTGTCTGCAGGAAAGGACGGCATGTGGAGACCCCCTGCTCTGTCTCTCTCAAGGGCTGCAGGGACATGTCAGCCATTTCCAGGAGCAGCAATTATCACAGAGATAATGACTCCAGCCAATACACGTGTGTGTTGGGTCAGGAGATGAGTGAAGGACAGTGTGTGTTTGTGTGAGAATGACAGACACGCACAGTGTGTGAGAGTGACAGTGATTTGCATTGCCAAGCTCCCTCCATCCCTTTCTCTCTGTGTGGAGATAGGGTACAGGAGTGGGGGAGGCAGAGGGACACCCTGACATCAGTGTCCCCCTTTTCCCCTCCCACAACCTGCACAGTAAGCAGGGGGCTCCAAGCGAGGCAGCTCCAAGGCAGAGGCCGGGAACAGCATGACAGTGGGTAGAGGAGCAACTGAAGAGCCAGTGCTTGATAGCTTCCTGGCCAGACCCACCTGTCAGAGGCTCCAAGATCTACCGGTTGGTGACCACTGCTCTAAGTTAATGCATTGCTCAAAATGCTAGATCGATTTGTGCACTTCCTTCATAGGGATACCTCCTAGTGAAATGAGAAACCACAAACAACATTTTAGGCTGAGATATTCACAGGCACCTATGTGAGTTAGACACCCAGATCTGGTGCCTGACTCCCTTAGACAGCTGGAAATTCCCATTTTAACCTAAAGCTGTTAAAACAATCACAGACATTTATTATAGGATAATTAACTGGCTGTGCAGCCTTTTAGAAATTGTAACCAAAAGATTAAATACAGGTTTGATCTCCCCGTCTGGCACCCTGGGCACCCTCCCAAACATGGGCCTGGGCTTCTATCCTGACCCTGGCCGCCCTTGCTCCCAGCCAAGCTTTCTGGTCCAATAATATCTGTGGTCCTCCCAGACCACGGATGTTGTTGGACCAGAGAGTGCCAGATTTCAGAGGTTCAACCCCGTAGTCAATTTCACCATTTCAGCTACAGTATTTAAATCTGAAATTTCACCATGTTGTAATTGCAGCAGTCCTGAAGCAAGGAGTTGTGGGGTGGTCACACAATTATTGTAGGAATTGGGTTATGCTATTGCCACTCTTACTTCTGTGCTTGGCTTCAGAGCTGGGCAGCTGGAAAGTGGTGGCTGCTGGCTGGGAGCCCAACTCTAAAGGCACCAGCAGCCATGCAGAAGTAAGGATTGCATATACTAATTCCACCCTTAACTTCTACACTGCTGCCTGCAGAGCTGGGCTCTTAGTCAGCAGCTGCCACTCTGACTGCTCAGCTCTGAAGTAAGGATGGCATGGCATGGCATAGTATTGCCTCCCTTACGTCTGAGCTGCTGCTCGCTGGGTGTTGCCTTCAGAGCTGGGCATCTGGCTGTTCTCCAGCTGCTGTTCTCCAGCTGCCCAACTCTTAAGGCAGGGCAGAAGTAAGGGTAGCAATAGCATGAACCTGGCCTAAAATAGTCTTGTAATCCCCCTCCCTCAACCTTTTGGGACAGGATCCCCATCTTGAGAAACACTAGTCTCCCTAGGGAAATCTGTATAGTATAGGGTAAAACACGCAAGAGACCAGATTTCATGGTCTGTGATGTATTTTTCATGGCTATGAATTTGATAATACAGTTTTGCTATGAGTCTAGATAATGCCCAGCAGAGAGAGAGATCCCATCTCAGCTGGGGGCTTTGGGTGTTCCTCATTAAGTAATAATGAGAATGGCAGCATTTATCACCAGTAATTAATTACACAACAGTATCCGTGATACTGCTGTTTCCCATGTACTTACAGTGGAGAAATAACTGCAGTAATTGAGGCAATTGATCACCGAAAGTACAGTAATCCTAGGACTTCAAAGTGCTGATTTTCCACCTCTGTTTCTCCTGATTCTCCAAACCTAATCTCCAATTATTTTATTTCAGGGAATGCACTTTCTGTGTGACACCATCACGGAGTGCTGGGACCATGATCCCGAGGCTCGCCTTACAGCCCACTGCGTGGCAGAGCGATTCAATCTGATGGCACAAACGGACTGTGATGACATCCTCAACAACAATACAGACAATGAAGGAAGGAAAACAGCCCACCCAAGCGGAGAACATCAAACTAGTGACGGGAATAGAAATATCCAGTGATGGGAAGAAACAAAAGCCTTGTACCAAAAAGAAACTAGGAGATAAAAGAAACATGTGGCTCTAAAAAGACCTCAGATCATTTTCTGAACGAGAACTAAGAGTCTATAATTTATTTATCAGACCTTTCACCCCATTAGGTACAATGCAAAGAGCTCTGGGATCAATACTTTGGCTCAAGTGCAACACTGTATAGAAATGGATATATTTTGTACTTAGATGTACGACGTTAACACATTTTCTTTATTATTTTAAAACTAGCACATTTACCTGGTGTTTCTTAGGTCCTTAAGGAAGGGCTCGGGGGGGGGGGGGAATGAAAGGGGAAAATGCAGGAGTCAGGATTGGGGGGTGAGGGACTCTGGGCAGGGGTGTGTGTGTGTGTGTGTGTGTGTGTGTGTGTGTGTGTGTGTGTGTGTGTGTGTGAGAGAGAGAGAGAGAGAGAGAGAGAGAGAGAGAGTGTGACGGG